ATCCCAAAAACAAGATCGAAGATCTACAATCAAACCGGAGAAACTTCGGCAATTCTAAGAACAAGGATCGAAGCCAAAGACAATCAAACTAGAAGACAACAGACATACTTGAAGTGAGAGAAAGAAGACAGGGTGGAGGCACGAAACCCCCCCCAACTCCGCTTGGTTTTAGACACGCCAGCCGCCGTGTAGTCAAATCAATAATATTAAGCATTTCATGGAATGTTTCAATTTTATGATGTATATAAACTCTTTACTAACCAAGATGTATTGTAGTGGAATTCCCCGGGCCATACACTTCTTTTTGAGCTCCTTCACACCTAGTTTCAAAATAAATGGTACCAAATGCAATGCACATGCAAACCCAATACTCTATATGCAAAAGTTACACAAAACTATATGAAAATGCATGATCACAAGGTAAAATAGTGAGTTAAGACCTCAAAAAGAAATACTGTATGTTTAAGAACATTAAAATACAGACACATCAGTCGATAATTGCTTCGCCTAATTTTTATTGCACATGACGCTAAGAAATTCACCTAATGTTCAATATAATAGCTAATTTTTTGCAGGTTTCTCCCGCGGTCTAGCCTAGACAATTGTTAACTTTCTCCTCTTTTCTTGTGTGATTGGAGAGACTTAACTATTGTTTTTTTTTTGTAACACTTGTGCTTACCTTAATAGTCTTTATTTTGTAGCTTTTTGGAGGTTTTTATGTGTCAATTTCCTATTTCAATCTTTGATCCAATTATTGTATCAGCTGCACATTCTAATGAATGAAATTCACCTACTTATAATAAAAAGTAACAAGGTATAAAAAGATAAGGAGACAGGTTATTTTTGTAAGAAAATAAGATTATTTTTGATATAAATATTTGAACCGTTTCAGATACATTGGTTATTTAAATATTTTTGTATTCATATATACTAGAATCAAAATCATTCAGATAACTCGAACCTCATACATAAATTTATAACATCCAAACGGGGGCTAATTTCAAAACCCAAAAAACCTTGATCCCGAAAGAAACAACTTGTACTTGAATGAATATCCAAATGTCCATAACTTATTGATTCTGTAAATAAATTAAAAAGAAAACTCTTTCGATACATTAGGCTAGAATAAGAAAAATAGAAAGAAAATTTTATTTAGTAAAATAGTTATATGGAGTGAAACATTAAGTGACAATAAATGTAATACATTTTAATTATTTTGATTAAAGTTATTATTTTGTTCACACAAACTATGCCTTTGAATTATGTGTGTTGGCTATGTAATTTTCCACCAATTGAAACTAAGATAAAAGCAAATTTTAGTAAAACAGCTTATACCAAACTATTAACCGTATGCAAAACCTAGTTGTTTTACATTTTTGATTTTTATAATTTGCACAAAGTTAATATTGATTAACTAATAAATAAAAATCTGCACTATTACTTTATGGTATACTATAATTAATGGTTTTATGTATTGTAAAGGTAAATATAATTAATGAAATTACTAAAAGAACACTATACTTACATTTTTTATACATTAATTTAGTTTTCATGATTAATGCTATATATAATATAACTAATTGTATTCAAAAGACCTGGACCTAATAGAACAATATAATTATTTTTGGTACAAATAATTGAACTCGTTTCATCTATATAATTTTATTTATAAATTATTCTATAATTAAAATGCATTTATATTAATAATAATATATTTTTAGAAAATAAGATAATTCTTATGTATTATGTTGTTATTTTGGAAAAATATCTATATACTGTTATTTGAGAAGTAAATTTTTTGATTTGTCAATTTCTCCATGATTTTAGGTAAATTTGATTATTTGTCATATTTTAAAAAATTATATATCTTTTATTATTTATCAAAAGTAATTTATAGTAATAATATTATATTTTAGAAAATAAGATAATTTTATGTATTATATTAACATCTTGAAAATATATTTTCTATTAAAATTTTAAAATTGAGATATAAAATTATAATTAATTATAAATAAAAAAAAGTATTTGTACAATCATATTCTCTAAAATATTTCTGATATGTGAGCGTTTTCATTCATAAACAATTTGTTTTTTTTTAATTTAAACTTTTGAAAAATATAAATGATAACATATTATGCTATTTTTTTGAATTAATAAAACATAAACTAACAAGTATTAATTAACTTCCCCATGATTATAGTTAATTTTACTTATTTGTCATTATGCTGGTTTTTAATAAAAAATAAGTTAGTGATAAAATTTACTATTCTCCATGATTTTATGTAATTTTTCTTATTTGTCATGTTTTTAATAATTTTATATAAAATTTATTATATAATTAAAACGAATTTATTATAATCATATAATATTTTAGAAAATAAGATAATTTTATGTATTATGTTATTATTTTGAAATTATATTTTATATTATAAACTTATAATTAAGATATAAAAAATTATAATTAAATATAAATTAAGGAAAAACATTTGTATAAATATATATTTCTAAAATATTTCTGATATGTGAGTTTTTTCATTTATAATTAATTTTATATTTTATTTTTAAATGTTTGAAAACATAAATAATAATTTATTATGATAGTTTTTGAATTAATAAAACAAAATTAATAAATATTTGTAAAACAATCATGCCCGCATGTGGGGGGGGGGGACAAAACACCTTGTGTGGCATTATGTAAATTCTTTTTGTTAGATTAGGTTAAAGCCGCGTAACCCTAGCTTCTCTCATCTTTTTATCTCTCTCTTGTGACTTGTTCTCTGTCACTTCCCACCGATTTCCATGCGTTCTGCTGAGCTATTCGAAAAGGCTAAGACGGCCGTTTTCTGGGACGCAGCGAATTGCAAAATTCCTTGCGGTCTCAACGCTCTTTCAGTTTCAAAGAATATACGATTGGCTCTTAAGGATACAAGTTTCCTTGGTTTGACGTCCATATTTGCGTATGGAAGTACCGAAGAGATCATGTTTGGCTTTGACTCATCCGCTGGAAAAGTGGTCTATCGCACAACCGTAGGTAGGACACTCTTCCGTTTTTCTTCTTCTTTTTAACTTATTATCTCCCTAATGCCTGTGTATATATGCTTCCAGCTTTGGATTACAATGGTGCAGGAGAGATGTATGAAAATGATGGAGCAGGTGAACTGAATTCCATGTTTCTGTATCTTTGATCTCGATTTATTTAATTAATTAAGATTCGCTTGTTTATAGATATCATTTCAAGAAGTGAATGCCCACCTGCAGTTGTGATGAATCTCACTAAGCCAGGTGAACTCCGTTTATTAATCAATTCAATTCTTCTTCTGTTTATAAATAATTAATTTTGTATGTGTACGGTTTCAGGAGATAAACACCAAAGATATGGTGCGTTGATTACAGGCGTTTTCACCTGGGCACTTGATAATCATCCACCAGCAAATTTGATACTAGTTGTGGGAGACGTCGCAGAACGTGAGTACTGGTTTGCTGGTGTTTTCACCCATCTGACTCGTTCAGGTTACAATGTTGCCTTTGTACAGCCTGAAAACCAAGCATCACAAATGCTATTTAGGCGTGGAAGAAGAATTTGGCTATGGGAAAAGCTATCACTTGGAGAAGGCCCTAACCCCAGACAGAAACCTCCAAACTTTCATTATGAACCCCCCAAAAACTCTTCCCCAAACTTCAATCTTCTTGGCGTTGGAGGCTTGGCTTGTTTACTGATTGTTACAACCATTCTGAAATGTGGCAGACTCTAATAATGCTCGGTATCTTTGTTATTTTGGTCCAATGTCTGTTTAAATCAAACTTGTGTACTTGATGAATTAGTAGTATGTTCCCTAGATCACTGGAATATCAAACATCTCTATGAATTTGTACTGTGTCTGATATTTTGATCCGTGATTTTATGGATTAGACTAACAAAGCTGAGGCCTAAAATACTCTTAAGTACTAGTATTTGAAAAAATTGTCCGTAAACAAAAATAAAAATATTAATTTTTCAGATTTATACAAAATAATATATATCCTTCTGTTTTTCCATGAAGAATGTAATTTTATATATTTCTCACAAATATTAAAAGTTATTAAATGCATTCATGTTCTTAGTCAATACATTCTATTTAGTAAAAAGTTTTAAAGACAAAAAAGAATATTTATAAAATCAAATCAAAGCATTTTATAAATAATATTAAAATCAAAACAGATATAAGTGACTTGAAATTCTAAAATGACTTTTTGTGAAACAAAAGGAATACTTTTTTATAAGTTATAAGGATTGTTAATTTAATTATAAATATAAAATAGTAAAATATATAAGATATCATATTTTAAATTTGAATATAATAGAGATAAAACTTTAGAAAATATTTATTTTGCTATTTTATTTTATTATTTATAACAGTATATTTAAAGATAAAACAGAAAACTGGAAGTAAGATTAAAATTTTTATGAAACTATTATAAATCAAAGTTATTATTGTAAATAATGTTAAAATATAATTGATATAAATTTCATTGTATTTCTAAAATGAGGTTCTTCCTTCATCTGGTACCGCATCATGTATGTCGGAGATGAAGCTTTGATTGTAGGCTTTGAATTATCTGGATGTTCTCGTAGATCTGTGTTGGTATGTGGTGAGTCTGTTGGCTTGGAATCGGATGAGATCTCGATGGATGCTCTCCGATGGAAAAGAGTGAAGGTGGGGATTATGGAAGCGGTGATTTGATGCCGGCGAGATCTGTAGTCTGAAGGCAGTGGTTCGATCCGTTTTCTCCGCCGTCGGCTTCGGAGGCACCGCACAGATTAGGGTTTCTTAGGGTCCCTTGATGTTGGGCTTTGTTTGGGGTTTTGTGTTAGGCCGTATGTTTGGGCTTTTGTTTGGTGTTATTGTATGATTTGATTGGGCTTAGACCCATTTATAAAACAACTTGATGGAAAAAAAAAAAATGAGGTTCTTTCGTATTGTATCTTCTCTCTCCTCTATCCCACCTCCCTTGATTCGGCGATGTCTATTAGGAGGACTAGTCGCCAGGACGGTCGATTCATCAGTAATTAAGTTCTCTCTAGTTCTGTCATCTTGCCTATTGTTTCAGTTCCTACCTTTTGCTTTTCTTTGGTATTTGAAATTTATTGATTAGAAAAAACCTAGACCATTAGGGTTTTCACCAACTAATGGATAATTGTTATTTCATTTCTGTTCGCAGCGGCAGAAACAATAGCCTTCTGGGACATCAATGCCTGCCCGATGCCTGATGGCCTCGATGCAAGAGATCTAAGTGAGAGCGTTCACCATACCCTTTTGAACATGGATTACTATAGTAAAGTGTGTTTGAGGCTATACGGCGACATTGATATGGACAAAATCGGTTATACTGATAATACACTTCGGTTCTGTGGCATGCCTCGTATGTTTTTGAATCCTTTCTCTAATCTTTCTCTCTTTTACATGTGTCACTGTATCTTGATGATCATGTTTATATATGGTTTCCGGTCCTAAAGGCACGACAATATTGGAGCAGATATTAGTGGACTTATACGGTGGCTCTGTGTCTAATCGTGGTACACCATTAAATATGGTGCTAATTGTTGGAGATATATCAAAAGACATACGAGCCGTCATCAATGCTTTCAGTCTTTTGCCAAAGAGGGGTTGGGTCAATATTCTTGTATGTCAGTCATCAGCTGTTGAGGCAGCAGTATTCTCCTCTGAAGTTCAGCTTCCACCTTGGGAAAAAATTGTAGAAACTGCTTTTGCGATTCGTGAAAAGAAGAAGAAAGAGAGAGAAGATTCCAGAAAGAGAGCAGAAGAAAACCGAGCCTCATATCTAAATGGAACAGCCAAAGTTAGCCGTATCTTTGGTGAATTCTGAAGACAAAATCAAAGCTTTCTCTTTGCTTCGTTTTTCTCTAAACTCTTGTGTCTTTCCTATGATTTTCTATTGCTTTAAGCCTTGTATTTTAACTTAAAGCAATAAAAAACAAAAACTATGGATTTGGTTATTTTTTCATTCTCTATGTTTCATTTTGCTTTCATAATTTTGAATTTCACTACATTAACGTGTCAGATGTGGTGGGTTCTATCGTTACTCTGCACATCAAATGAAATGCCAAATTCATCTCGAACGCAAATCACTTTTTAATTACACACGGAAATGTATTTTTTACGTATGGATTTAAATATTGTGATGATCTTAGATTAGGGTTATGGACATAGATTATTGATCACCTATATATCATTGTGGCTGGTTGGTTAGATTTTATCTCATTTCTTCAACTCTATTTATTTTAAAATAATTAATTTTTACTAATCATGATTTAACTATCAATACTATTAAAACATAAGCAGTTTTTATCTACTTGCAAATCGTCTAAGTAGTCTAGATTAAACCATTACATTTATTTAATTTTCTATTATTTTTCATACAATAAACTTAGTTATTATTTAAATAAACATACAATCTTAACATATTATTAGATCTCAACCCGCGCAACCACGCAGATATTTGTTTTCATTTATTTTTATATAAATATTTTGGTTTCACTTCGAAATTGGTATATATTATATGAGGTGTGTATATCTATTTTTTTTTTTAAAAATAACAATTTTACCATATATTAATTTTCATCGAATACATTATTTAAAACTTTCACATGTATTTGTATCTTCTATATATATATATATATATGGATTATTATTTCATTATTGAACTTTTAAATATATGTAAAGCTTGGTAAAATATTGTTTTATTGTCATCTCTAAAGATATTGTAACATTTCTTAAATTTATAAAGTTTAACAAAATTTTAACTGTTAGTTTCATATTATGGAGTATATAATTAAACAATTAGTTTTTGTTATTTTTTAAAGTAAACAATATAACTTAAAAATTATTTTCACTGGTTTAAGGTTATAGATTAATTATTTTAGAAAATGATGATGATAATTTTGTTATTTTTAAAAATAAACTATATAATTTTAAAAGTTAACATCAAAAATATATAAATAATTAACTTGTACTATTACAACATTAAATTATATAAATTTATTTTAAACATGTATTTTATTATACTATCTATAAATCTAATGGATCACCTAATTATTATTAGCCCAATAAAAAGTTCTGGTAAGCCCAATAAATGATTAATGATTGAATACTGAAATGTTATAAATTTTAGTAGATAGTCCATTTTAAAATATCACACATGAAATGAAGTCATGACCTCTCTTTTATTATATAAGATTTTATTATACTATCTATAAATCTAATGGATCACCTAATTATTATTAGCCCAATAAAAAGTTCTGGTAAGCTCAACAAATGATTAATGATTTAATAATGAAATGTTATAAATTTTTAGTAGATGGTCCATTTTAAAATATCACACATGAAATGAAGTCATGACTTCTCTTTTAATATATAAGATTAAATAAATTCAGAATAAGATACCAAAAGATCTTCTTAACTACTTTTTCAAATTACATTTTAACAATAGCTTTTAATATCTTTTTATTTTAAAAAATATATAGTTATTGTTTAAATATTATTTTAATAATTAAAATAGTAAATAAGATTAAATTCATTTACAAATGTATATTAACTCATTTCGATTTATAGAATAAGAAATAACCTTCTATAGTATTTTTATATAAATATTTCAATTAAATATTACACTAAATAATAATTATAAAATAACTTAATCTATTTTCTTATAAATTATAACTAAATGAATTACATTTACAGAATAACATATATTTATATACTTTACAACATACTTCAACTTATTAAAACAAAATACTAAAGTAAGATATTTAAAATAAAAAATAATTTTATATTTTAATATAAATATCTAAGTTAAAATACTTGGATATAATTTAATATAAAATACATTACTAAATTTAGTTGACATTAACATTATTTGATTATATGGTATATTGAACTGTATATTATGATTAATCATTATAGTTTCTTCTTGATTATTTCATAAAAATGTAATTAATAAAAAAGATTCATATTATACCTTTAATTTTTAATATAATTAAAATTAATACGAGGCGGGTTATACAAATAAATTATCTTATTTCGTAAAATTATATATTTACATATTTTAATTTGCTTAATAAACTTTATAAACAAAAGTTTCTTTATAAAAAGTACACACACACATATATATATAATTTATATTATGGGTAAATAAAATTTTGAATAAAATTTTCTAGACCATCTAAATTAGGTTTTAAGTTAGACTTGAGCGTTCAGGTATCCGTAGAATATGGGTTAGGTATTTTGAATTTTGGTTCTAATTTATATCAAATCCTAGGTCTCATTGTGCTCAATTCGTAAATACAAATTGGGGTCTTGATATAACACATTGGTTTGAATCTAATTTGTACAACATCTTAATCATAAATTAATCATAAATCGTTAAAATGCAGTTTATACTTTATACTGGTTTGGTCTGAATATATCTGAAGTTTAATGCAAAATTTTAAAACAAAACATAAAAAATACTTATTTTTATAGAATCAGATATTTAATGTACTTTTACAATTTAAATATTTAATTTTAGATATCACTCAAAAATAAATATAGAATTGAATTTTTGATTTATGTATGTATCTTTCATATATATATATATATATATATATATATATATATATGTGTGTGTGTGTGTGTGTGTGTGTGTGATTAATTTGAACATTTAAATCGGTTTTTCAAAACTCTACAAGTTTCTTTTCGGATTATCGGTTTAGGTTGACCAATAATACTTCCGATTTTGATTTGTTTTGTATCATTACCACTCTACAAGACCTCTTCTAATACTTTTTTTTTAACATTTCAAAACGGGTATGAATAGGGTTTTTGTAGTTTGGGTTGGATATGGACTTTGGGTTACAAATTTTATATTCATACATACTTTACATAAGAGAAAATACAATTATATAATATTTTCACAAAAAATATATCCAGCGCTTTGAAAGCGCGGGATAAAATCTAGTATAATCTATTAATTTAAAGTCCTCTTTTTATCTACTATTAACAAGTCATAGTAGGACAACTTAAATAATTATCTAATAGGACATATTTGATTATTTACATTAATGCTAAGCCAATAATAAATTTGAATTTTATTTAGATAATTATAATAAAATCTGTTCACGGAGAATCTAACAAAATCTTATTTAAATATTTTAAATATTTTTTATATAAAATAATAAATTAGTGAATTTCAAAATTAGTAATATAATCTTATTATAAATCAAGATTAAGTAATATTTTATTATAAAACAAGAAACAAAAATTCTAGTTGTTTTTCTAAATTCTATAATTAAATTCTGTATTATATAAAAATAGCAGTCTATATGAATTAATTATGAAAAATAATGTTAAATAGGTAACAAGTAGGAAGTGTCTTTCTATGTTATTACAAAGACAAAATGTGTCTTAAAATGTAAAAGAAAAATCAAGAAAAAAGAAGGGATGGTGAAAATCAGAAAATAAAATGTTAATCCCCTATATATTGTTGATAAAAAAACCCTATATATTAAAAGAAATGTATTACAATATTTTAGCTATAACACGTGCATCACTAGAATGCTTCTCAAAATCTCTAGAGAGATATGTTGGTCCATTGAATATATAATATGGTATTCATTAAGTTAATGATATAATTAATTAATATGTACAATTAATAATTTTATCTCTTTCCTTAAATAAAAACTATTACACTACCTAATATGCTGAAGTGTATATATGACAATTAATGATGTTAATAATAGAAATTGATAACAATATTTGTATCCTCCACCATTTATATTTATTTATTTTATTATTAACATAAAATAAATAATCATATCAAGCATATAATAAAAATTACATTTTTTCATATATGCTAAATTTAAACTTTTTAAAACTATAAACTAATAAAACTACTAAAGTTACATTAATTTTTTTAGAAGTATATATATATATATATAAATAATCATAAAAAAAATAATACATATTCAAAATTTTATTTCCAAAATTTTAACTTTTTATTAGAAAAATATATAAATAATCATAAAGTTTCATTTAATAGATATTCAAAATTATATATATATATATATATATATATACTTATTGTGCAGATATTTTTTGAATTAAATTTTAGAGAAATAATTTAAAAAAATAAAAAAATTCCCATCGAACGTGACTGAACTAAAACGCAAGCCCACTATGAAAAAATAAAAATAAAACGCAATCCCACATTGCCTCAAGCTAATTTATCTTTGCATTATACTATTTATAATCAAGTGATAACATGCTTCAGTTGATTAAATATTTATACATTCAATAACCTATAAATGTGATTTAATGTCAAATTATATTACTATATGCATAATCATAAATAAATAATACAATAGCTTGATCAAAAAAAATAAATAATAATACAATAGTTATTTCATCCTGCGTAAGGGCGCAAGTTATAAGTAGGCTATTTACTATTTAGTATATTATTTTCCCTATTAGACGGTTCGTTTTGGGCTTGATTTAAAATGGGCTTCGGGTTGTGTAAGCCCATAATATATAAAAGCAACTAGGGTTAGAGCATAGTCTCTGAGTAATCTTTCTTCTACGGCGGTTTTCCCCTCTTATCTTTCGTATTGTATCTTCTCCTCTATCCACCTCCCTTGATTCGCCGATGTCTATTAGGAGGACTAGTCGCCAGGACGGGTCTATTAGGAGGACTAGTCGCCAGGACGGGTCTATTAGGAGGACTAGTCGCCAGGACGGTCGATTCTTCAGTAAGTTCTCTCTAGATCTGTCATCTTGCCTATTGTTTCAGTTCTTACCTTTTGCTTTTCTTTGGTATTTGAAATTTATTGATTAGAAAAAACCTAGACCATTAGGGTTTTCACCAACTAATGGATAATTGTTATTTCGTAATTTAGTTATTTCATTTCTGTTCGCAGCGGCAGAAACAATAGCCTTCTGGGACATCAATGCCTGCCCGATTCCTGATGGCCTCGATGCAAGAGATCTAAGCAAGTGCGTTAACCAGACCCTTATAAACATGAATTACTGTGGTGAAGTGTGTTGGAGGCTATACGGCGATACTGAAATGGACAAAATCGGTCCGACTAATCGTACACTTCGGTATTGTGGCATGCTTAGTAAGTTTTTGAATCCTTTCTCTAATCTTTCTCTCGTTTACATGTGTCACTGTATCTTGATGATCATGTTTATATATGGTTTCCGGTTCTAAAGGCATGCCAATATTGGAGCAGATATTACTGGACTTATACGGTGAGACTCTGTCTAAACGTGGTACACCATTAAATATAGTGCTAATTGCTGGAGATATATCAAAAGACGAAGCCATCATCAATGCTTTCACTCTTTTGCCAAAGAGTGGTTGGGTCAATATTCTTGTATGTCAGCCATCAGCTGTTGAGGCAGCAGTATTCTCCTCTAAAGTTCAGCTTCCACCTTGGGAAAAATTTGTAGAAACTGCTTTTGCGATTCTTGAAAAGAGGGGGAAAGATAGGCGTTTCTTTGGTGATATCTGAAGACAAAATCAAGCAAGCTTTCTCTCACTATATTGCTTCGTTTTTCTCTAAACTCTTGTGTCTTTCCTATGATTTTCTGTTGCTAAAGCCTTGTATTTTAACTTAAAGCAATAAAAAACAAAAACTATGGATTTGGTTATTATTTTTCATTCTCTATGTTTCATTTTGCTCTCATAACTTTGGATTTCACAACATTAACGTGTTAGATGTGGTGGGTTCTAGCTTTACAGCCGCGAGAACATCTGTCGAGAGAAAGAAAAAGAGTGATGTGGGAACGAGAAAAACGACCGAATCAAACCAAAAAATCATATATCTAAAATCAAACCAAATTCTAAAATGACTAAAAAAATACTTTTTAGTTAAGAACCTTAGAGCACCTCCATCACTGGAGTTCTTAGCCATTAAAAAATTAACTTTTTTTTTTAGAATAGTTAAAGAATCTAGTCCAATATGTGTGTCTAATGGTGTTATCTATTATAGAATTCTTAGAAATTTAAAATTATTAAAATTGTAAACTAGTTAAATTTAAAATTTTCATTTATTGAATGATTAAATTTAAACATACAATAATTATACATCATCATCATTATTAAACTTGTTCCAAATATTTTCAACCAAATCATTTTTCAATTGTTCATGTATACGCCTATCATTTATAAGTTGTTTTTTTAAAACTCATTTGTAAGTAAAGATCGTTTTCTTTTTAAATTAATGAAATCACAATATTTATAAATTCTAATTTTCCATGTAGTAGCGCATCAGACATTTTCCATTAAAATTTTCTATAAAACTATAAGCAATGAAAAAAAAAGAGATATTCATAAAATCACCATTTGCTTCAAGAAGAAAATGATAATATACTGTATAAGATCAGTGTGACATCTCTCTTTCTAGACCACTACTCTGCTGCCTTCTAGTACTTGATGTGTATAGTCTTGTGTTACTTTGCATATGTAGCTTCAACGCGCTGAAGAAAGACGCGAAGCAGCAAAAGCAAGGGCTAGAGAGCTAGAGAAACAGGTCCAAATACAGTTTTGAAATCCAATATAGTTTTGTAAGCATATAGGTTTGTATCCTGTGTTGATGTTTACTCTTAAGCTTGGTGCAACTTGCAACAGATTGCTTCTCTAGGTGAAGGTGCAAATTTTGATGTCAAGCTCTTGAAAAGGTTTGGCGTTCTTCTGTCTTTATTAAAACCTACAGTCTAAAAAAAAATGTTCTTTCACAATAACATTTTGTAAAGTTTTAGCAATAATCTGTGTTTTTTGTAAAGTTTCTTACCATTGTTTCTTAGGTTACAAAAATTAAAAAAATATCTTAAGGGACCTAAAATTGTTTCTAGCAATAATGCTGCCCTAATGGTGTTATACATTATGAAGTCCTTAGAAATTTAAAATTATTAAAATTGTAAAATATTTAAATTTAAAATTTTTATTTATTGAATGATTAAATTTAAACATGCTATAATTATACATCATCATCATTTCCAAACTTGTTCCAAATATTTTCAACCAAATCATTTTTCAATTGTTCATGTATACGCCTATCATTTATAAGTTGTTTTTAAAAAAAAAACTCATTTGTAAGTAAAGAACGTTTTCTTTTTAAATTAATGAAATCACGATATTTATAAATTATAATTTTCCATGTAATAACGCATCAGACCTTTTCCATTAAAATTTTCTATAAAACTATAAGCAATGAAAAAAAAAATATTCATAAAATCACCATTTAATCTTTTTCACAAGTACACTGGAATAGTACGTATGTATAAGATTCGGGAAAACAAACAAAAAGACGGATGGTTCTTCTCTTCCTACGGCAACTGACACGTGTTAAGGATTCAATCCTTGCACATCTTATATAAGGATTCATCCTTAACTCACAGAACATGCATAATATTATTAAATTCTAATTTGCATTAGTTTCAACGCTAAGAATTTACTTAAATCATGTGTTGCACCTGCTCTTAAACTATGATTGATGTTGAAACTCAAGTGAATTTTTTAAGTTTTTTAGTTTAGTTAAAAATAAAATTAAAAATAAACTAATTGCAGATCGTCATATATTAATGGGATCCGTGAATAGTGCAAGATACTAACGAAAATGAGTCCTTATTATAGTTATTCTGCAACTGGTTTTTGCTTTTTTTGTAGCCCTCACCCCCCTAAGAAACCTACTAATCCCCCCCCCC